CCCTTCGTGGCCTCGTTGCTGCCCTCAATGACCCTGTCCTTGCCCTCTGCGGCCCCATATGCGCGTGCTCTTCGTGGCGCCCGCTCGTTCGCGCCAGTCGGGGCCCCGTATGCATGCGCTTCGTGGGCACCCATCACCCATCGTGGCCCACTCGTTATCCTGCGTGGCCTCGTTGCTACCCTCAGTGGCCCCGCCGCTGCCTTTACGGCCCCGGATTATCTGCCATTCGCGGCCCCCGCTCGTTCGCGCCCTTCGTGGCCCCATACGCATGCCCTTCGTGGCCCCACTGTCGCCCTTCGTGGCCCCTTCCTGCCCTTCGTGGCCCCGCTGTTGTTTTCGCTGTCGCTCTCGCTTTTTCGCTCGTCGTCGTCGGCGTCGTCGCCGTCGCTGTCGCCGTCGTCGTCGTCGTCGTGGTCGGTCCCCTGTCCGTCCCTCTTGGGGTCGAGTTGCCGCCGATCAGCGCTGCCGTTGGCCAGGCCGACGGTCCGCGGCCGCCCCGCCGCGTGCCGCGGCCCTGCCTAAAGGTAAGAAAGATATGCCCCCCAAGAGGGGTACGATCGAAAACGACGAGGGCGGGTACCGGGGTTTTGGGATATTCGTGTTGAGTGACACTCGGGCAGGTAAGAGCGAACAGTCTTAACATTATTGTTGTTGATGTTGTCGATGATGTATTCTCATATTCAAACAATAATATGATTGTTTTCCCCCGTCTGGGGCACAATGTGTTTTAGGCAATTGAAAAGTTCCTCCCGGGGCTCGCACCTGGTTTTTCTACAAAAGGAAACCGGGGCGGATAACCAAACGAAGCCTCAGGCCCCCGAGTTACAACAACAACAACAACGGCTCCCGCCTGATACGTCCCTCACAATTTATTCCAAGTCGCGCTCTCGCGCAGGACCCCCTCATACATTATGTAGGAATCGCGCTCTAGCGTGGGACTTTTTCGTAAACTATTCAGACGCCAAACCCTCGACACTCAGGAATCACGCTTTCGCTTTAACCGCTCTCACGATTTACTTGGCAATCGCGCTATCGCTTGAGATTTGCTCGCAATGCATGCAATACGCACGGTCAGCAACACGTCTTCTCGATCTGGCCGTTTGGGCCCGCCTTCCCGACCCGCCCGTTAGGGTCTACCTGCCCGATGGGCCCGTCTGGTTCTGCCACGTGCTTTCTGCTCCTGGCCCCCTTCCTGCTAATCCCGTGGTCCATCCTCTCCCTCCCCTGTCCATCCGTCCTGTCTTCCTGTACCAATTACGCGCGGCAGGTAAACAAACATATAACCCAGAAGAAGTACGATGGAAAATGGGAACGACGGGTATCGAAGTTTTGGGGTCTACGTGATGAACGGCACGCGATCAGATAAGACCGAACAGTCTTCAGTCTTAATCTGATGGTCGATGATCGTGACTTCTCAATTTCTAGCGGATACGTATTGTTGATTATTGTTGATCCCCCTGCTAGAACACCGTTATTGTTGCATAGAAGTGCTTTCCCCGTGGATGACACATTGCTTTTTTAGGTTGGTATGCGAGGTGTCACCAAGCCGTGCCCCCGCCCCCCCGATTTACAATAACAGCGGCTCCCGCCTGACACTCCCGCACAATGTATTCCCACATCGCGCTCTCACGTGGGACGTCTTCACAATTTATACAAAACTCGTGCTCTCGCGTGGGATTTCCTCGCAATTCATTCAGGCGCCGCGCCCTCGACAGCCAGGGATCACGCTCACTGTGATTTCCTCGCGCTGTGTGTGTGTGTGTGTGCGTGTGTGTGTGTGGGGCGAAACGCGCTATCGCTCGAGATTCCCTCGCGATTCATGCAGGACGCAAGCTTTAACAACCCGCCTTCCTTGACCTGGGCGCCTGGGCCCGCTTTCCCGACCCGCCCGTTAGGGTCTACCTGCCCGATGGGCCCGTCCGGTTCTGCCACGTGCTTTCTGCTCCTGGCCCCCTTCCTGCTACTCTCTCTCGTGCTCCGTCCTGATCCCCCTTGACCCTTGCTTCCATCCGTGCTCTTTTCCCCTGCCGGAGGGGATACATAATAAAATGCACGTTGGAAGAGAAATACATACCCCAAATGGGTTATGATCGAAGACGAATGGGGCGGGTATCGAACTTGTGGGGTACATACGTGCTGAGTTGTCCACGAGCGGATGAGAGCGAGCAATCTTAAAATCATGTTGATTGTGTTGTTGGCCCCTTCGGTGCCGTTTGTGGCCTATATGTACGCCTTTCGTGGCCCCCAGTCGTTTGTGCCCCAGTGGCCCCATTGCTGCCCTTCGTGGCCCCAGTGTAGCCCTGTGTGCCCCCCCCCCCCGCGGCCCTCAGCGGCCCCTTCGCTGGCTGCCCTTTGGACTGCGCCCAATACGCGTGGCTGGTCAGGAAGATGTACCCCCCAGAGGGGGTACGATTGACGACGAAGATGGCGGGTATTGGGGGCTTGGAATATCCGTGGTGAAATACGCGCGAGCAGGTAAGAGCGAACAGTTTTAAAACAAATGTTGTTGTAGTTGTAGTTGTAAATGTTGTTGAACTTTCGTCACTGAATACTTATTATTGTTGATCCCCCTTCCGGTGACCATTGCTTTTTTCAATTGGAATGCTCCCCCCGGGCCTCGCTCCAGGTTTATATATCAAGGAAAATCACGGGGCTCAAATTGCGGTGCCCCAGATAACAACAGCAGCGACAACAACATCGCTCCCGCCAGAGGCTTCCTCGCAATATAGCCAGGACACCCCCTCCCGCCCAGGACGCCCTCGCATTCTACTCAGGGGTCGCGCTTTGACAATACAAGTTAATCAGGATTTTTTCCTCGGCGCTCTAGTCGCGCTCTCGCTGGAGATTTGCTTGCAATTTACTCAAGAATCGCGCTCTTGCTTTGTGATCCCCTGCGAATTACTCAAGCGCCGCGCCCGCGACACTCAGGCACCCAGGAATCGCGCTCACGCTGAGGACTTCCTCACAGCTTACCTGGGAATCGGGATTTCGCTGCCCGTCGTGGCCACATTGCAGCCCTTCGTTGCCCCGTCGCTGCCTTTTGTGGCCCCATCGCTGCCCCCTTGAAGCACCTCGTGGCCCCCTCGCTGCCCTTCGTGGCCCCGTTGCGGCCTTTCGTGGCCGCCTCGCTGCCCTTCGCGGCCCCGTTGCAGCCTTTCGTGGCCCCCTCGATGCCCTTCGCGGCCCCGTTGCAGCCCTTCGTGGCCCCCTCGCTACCCTTCGTGGCCCCATATACGCATGCCCTTTGTGGCCCCCGCTCGTTCGCGCCCGTCGTGGCTCCATATGCATGCGCTTCGTGGCACCGCTGTCGAATATCCGTGGCCCCCTCGCTGCTTTTCGTGGTCCCGTCGCTGCCCCCAGTGTCCCCGTCCTTGCCCTCTGCGGCCCAATATACGCATGCCATACGTGGCCCTCGCTCGTTCGCGCCCGCGGTGGCCCCATCTACATGCGCTTCGTGGCCCCGCTCTCGCCCTTTGTGGCCCCCTTGCTCCGCTGTCGCCCTTCGTGGCCCCCTTGCTGCCCTCCGTGGCCGCATCGCTGCCCTTCGTGGCCCTGCTGTCGCTTTCGCTCTCGCTCTCGCTCGCGCTTTCGCTCGTCCTCGTCGTCGTCGTCGTCGTTGTCGTCGTCGTCGTCGTCGTCGTCGTCGTCGTGGTCGGTCCCCTGTCCGTCACTCTTGGGGTCGGGCTGCCGCCAGTCAGCGCTGCCGCCGGCCAGGCCGACAGTCCGCGGCCGCCCCGCCGCTTGCCGGGGCCCGGCCTGCAAGGAAGAAAGATATACCCCCCAAAGGAGGTGCGATCGAAGACGAAGAAGGCGGGTATCGAGGGTTTTGAAGGTTTAGGGAATACACGTTGAATGACATTCGATCAAATAGGAGCGAACAAAACTAAAATGATTGTTGTTGGTTGTTGTTGTGGTGGTGGTGGTGGTGGTGTTTGTAGTTGTTGCTATTGTTGATGCTTGTCGTCGTACCGCCCGCGACCCGGCCCGCGATTTACCCGCGACCCACCCGCGACCCACCCACGACACACCCGCGAGCCACCCACGACCCACCCGCGACCCACCCGCGACCCACCCGCGACCCGCCCCGCGACCCGCCCGCAGCCCGGCCCGCGGACCCGGCCGCGACCCACCCGCGACCCACCCGCGACCCGCCCCGCGACCCGCCCGCAGCCCGGCCCGCGGACCCGGCCGCGACCCGGCCCGCGGACCCACCCGCGACGCGGCCCGTGACCCGCTCGCGACCCACCCGCGACCCACCCGCGACCCACCCGCGACCCGCCCGCGACCCACGCGCGACCCACGCGCGACCCACCGGCGACCCACCCTCGACCCACCCACAACCAGCCGCGACACACTGGCGACACACCGGCGACCGACTCGCCCGCGACCCACCCGCGACCCACCCCACGCCCGCCCCCTCACGCTTATCCGCAGCTGCGGGGTGCTACGAAAGAAAATGGAATGGAGGAGGGCGAGCAAGAGAGGAGGAGGTGGAGGAGGAGGAGGAGGAGCAGGAGGAGGAGGAGGAGGAGGAGGAGGAGGAGGAGGAGGAGGAGGAGGAGGTGCGCAGTCCTGGTGCCATCTTGTGACCGCCCTGGGCCCTCCAGGGCCAGAGTGGTCTCCCAAAGCACCAACACCCCCCGGCGGCCTGTGACCGCCGGGGTGCCGTCTCGAGCCGCCTTCGGGCTGCCTCGGGACGGGGGCGGGGGGTTGGGGGCGCAGAGGCCCGTAGGCAGTGTCACGTGGCCTCGCCTCTACTGCCAGAGGGGGCGTAGGGACCGAAGCCGTGCCCGGAAATCTGCCCGAGTGTGGCCGACACTTGCGCCCGAAGTGTTCCGACCCCGCCCGAGTGGAACCGTTGTTTTCAGCTCGGGACCAACACGACGTGCAATTTCGGGCACACTTTCGGTCATATCTATTGCTCGGTCAATCGCGGCCGGGCGCCATGAGCAATGATCTCTACACTTGCCCGCGCATGGCCCAGCCCAGACTTGTAGATCAGAAGACGTCGGGCTCTAACTTCGCCTCTGGCATGTCGCCAAGCAACGCCAAAGCTTGCAACCACTGCCCGCTTTGCTCGCACGCGCTGATCCCGGCGCTGTAGCTGATGACGTTTGGCTCCAGTTTCGCACTCCACATCTCGCTCAGCAGCGCCAGCGCCCGCTGCCACTGCCTGCCTTTTCCTTGTGCGCTGATGATCGACGTGTAGAGGCTCTCACTGACGTGCGAATGCAATTTTGACGATTCCTGAAAGGAATGCAACGCCGCGCTCCAGTGCCTAGTCCTCGCATAACTTTTTATGTCCGCTTCGAAGGAAGTAGCACCTGGTCTGGATCTGAGCCTAATGTCTAGCATCTGGCATCAGAACACATCGTGAGCAGCATTTCGAACATCCCCGTGTTCGATCCAAATCTGTTTGAGCTGAAACTGCTTCACCACATATTGCTATATAGGAGGCGGGAGGGAGTGGGCGGTATGAACAGGAGGACTCCATCAAGGGCGTGTAGGGAAAAACCGAGGAACACCATGATGACGATTGTCGACGGGGACGATGAGGACACAGTCGCTGGCCACTCTACGTAGTCCAATCCATCTTTCAAGGGGCCCCAGGACACACAAATAAATACACACAAATAAAATAATTCTCCATATTTTCCCATATTTTCTGGGTTTTTGTCTTCCCGCCCAATTCCCATATTTTCCCATATTTTCTGGGGGATCGACGATTAATTGTGTCTGTGTGTTTTTTCTCCTCCTGAATCTTGCCCGAAGCCTCGCTCCTCGCGGCGCAGCGGCCGGGTGGAGCGGGCATGATGGCGCGGGACCAGAGGGGGCGCTGCCTGCCCCACGCGTTCGCAGGATTCGATTCTCCTCAGAGCGGGTGTTAGAACCAGCTTGTGCCTGTCCACCGGTGCCCCTCAATACGACGCAGGGCGCAATGATGGGGCCGCGTGCGATCGGGGAAGCTGAGCGGGGTGACGCTCACTGGGATAGCGCGCGCCCTGGGGATTCCACATCCCGCGCCCACAAGGAAGAGATGACACCAAACACTACACCACGAGAACATGCGTCCACTCTTCAACACGCACCAGCATGGCAACCGCGAGGATGACGTGGTGGTGTGGCACACAGATACCAGGCACGGAGAAACGTCGGGCGGGGCACTTTCCAACGAAGCAGGCGCTCCCGACACGGTGCACAACCGCCTGCTGGCGTAACTACTGGTAGCGGCGACCATGCACCTAATGGAGACGAAACGCCAGTGGGGGGGGGGGGAGGCTGTGAAGAGGAGGGAGAAGGAGCACGTCCTGGATGCCTCTATGGACTCGCGAACGACTTTGACGGCGAATGCACCTCAGACGCGCCGCCGTGCCTGCGGCACGCTGGCGCTGGAATTTCGTCCACCTGCCTGTTCGTTGTCTGGTTCGGGCTCTGTCGTCCTCTGGGGCCGACCGCCCCCTGGAAGGATCTCGTGCCGAAGATCCCACCCCCCCACTCTTGGAGCAGTGGTCCCGCGCCCGCGATTCGGCCTCCAGACCCCAACCGAAAGACAAATGCCGCCCCCCACCGGCTGCAAGACACCCCAAGACGATCGAAAGACAGCCAATGCAGCCCCCGAAGGCCCAACATCTCCAGAAGATGGGCCGATAAACTTCCCGAAGACGTCCACAGCAACCTCCTTGGGGCCGTAAGGGGCGAGACGCGTTGAAACACAACTGAGATGATCACATCGAACCTACCTCGCTTTTGACCACCCTCGCTCCCAAGAGGTACCAAACGAGGCCAAACTACGGCATGTACTGGTCAGGCCGCTTGACAAGGAGGCGCGTGGTATGACGTGGTTTTGCCTGGAAGCCAAAGGGGGGTAGGTAATTCACGCTCTGATATGATGTTATCAATGCGCAATGACGGCCAGCGGGAACGGGCAGGCACTCGGCACTCCGCCGACCCCCGTTTGCCGGGGGTGAGACGGCGTGCGGGATGATTGGCTGTCCCCCTCCGCCTTCCCCCCCCCAGGGGAGCGGGTGGGTGACTGGGCTCATCAACGCACCCCTGGGGCTCCCAGCCTCGAAATCTACACACCGTGGTCTCCAAGATGCCCAAGATGCCATCTCAGCTGGCTCAAACTAGGTTCCAACATGCCGAGGAGAGCTCGGAAACAACCAAGATGACCTCACGACTGCGAGAGGGATCTCCAAGATTTCAGCAAGGCTCCAAGAGTGCCCCCAAGAGAGCCCCAAGAGGCAAATTTCGTCATACTTAATCCTTCTGAACACATTTTTTTGTCGCAGAACCGATGTTTTGTCTACGGCTCAAGAAGACCCTCCAGATTCGTTTCAAGGCGCCCAGGGAACCCCGAAGAGGCTCCAAGACGGTCCACAAGCACCGACGAATGCCCCAAGACGCCCCCAGAGGCGCACAAGATGGCCAAAGGCGGCCCCGATTAGGCTACAAAAGGAGCCCAAGAAAGGTACCTCGAACCGACATTTCGAGCCTTCCGTCCCAAGATGACCCCAAGACCGCCAGCAGGCCCCCCAAACAGATACCAAACGGATCTCCGAAAGTCCCAGGACGGCCTCACACGTGGATGTATTCATGTCTTCTCTCTTCTGAGATTGACCGCCAGGCGGCTTCAACTTGAAACCCAAGGAAAACCAAAGGCGCGTGCAAAAATCCATACAAAACCCTCCAAGCGCGCTCAAACGGCCCCAATACGTCCCCGAACTGTTTCCAAAAGGCCGAGCTGCCGCCGAGGTGTCCAACGTTACGGCTTCCTGTTGGTTTCAATGTTTTCGCGCTTCCGAAGCCCCAGAACGGCCAAACGTTCCCACACACTGGCTCCGGACAACCGAACACGCTGCCGAGGGAACCGCCAAGGTACCACGCATCACAGCGTCCAACGCGCCCTCCACCAATCGCCACCCACAGAGACAGAGAATGCAGCGCGCCTCCCGTTCCTCCTCAACCTCCTCTTCCTCCTCCTCTTTCTCCTCCCCATCCTCCCAATCCTCCTCATGCTGCTACTCATTATCCGCCTCCTCCTCTTCCTCACTTCCCTCGTCGTCCTCTTCCACCCGCTCCTCCTCTGGTTTTCCCCCGCCTCCCCCTCCCCTCTCTCCTCGTCACATTATCATCATATTCCATCTCCCTTCTCCTCCACCCCATCCTCCTCCTCCTCATCGGCCCCCTCCCACTCTTTCCCAGAAACCCCGTCAACTGCCAGCGGGCGCCTAAGAATCCACAAGCGGCACCAAGACGACCCAAAGACCCTCACAAGGTCCTCCCAACGATCACAACGGCTCCAAAAGACCTCACCCGTGGTCTTGTGTTTCCTCACGGGGTCGGCGGACCAGCGTCAGCCTCATGAGTGATACCTCCGTTGCCACAGAGTGGCAAGCTGGGGGCAACCAACGAGCTACGAGGGTGAATGCGTAGGAATGTATGGCAATTGGGACAACGACCACAACGACGCCCCCCGAATCATGTTTTCAAGCCTATCCCGCGCACGCGCACCCGTGGCTTATACGGTGCTTGCACTCAAAAGCTCTTACTTCTCCTCGAAGACACTGGGCCTGCCTGCCGGACTGGCGGCTATGTTGCCGCCGTCGCCGCCCCGTCGCCGCCTCGTCGCCGCGACGAGGCCTGCGCCACACTGACTGCCCAACATGAATTGCACCACGCAGATTGCGCAACGTAGACTGCACCACATGGACTGCACCAAACATATTTCACAACAGAGATATCACCACACACATTGCTAATCATAAGCTGCACAACATATAATGCGCACCACATCGACGACACACCATCTATTGCACAACAATGTTTGCATTACACATCATGTAATACGATACTTGCCCGAATCTATTGTATACCATCTGTTGTACCTCATCGGTTGCGCAACGTATATGGCTCCGCAAATCTGGCACAGCAGGGATCGCACAACGTATATTGTATATTGCGTTACACAGGTTGCACAACACACATTGCATAACAGAGGTTGATAGAAACGCCCTGTTTGGGGTCCACGCTGGCTAACATATCAACCATGTTATCGTTATGAGCGTGTACGGCCAACGTGGACGGGCAGACATCAATTCCATGACATGTGGCCACACTTCCGAGCTCTGCACACCAACGAATTGTCGCCACGGGCAAGCACGCCCAACGCGAACGGTCAGAAACTAATGCCATTACCCGTGACCACACTCGACAGCCCGTGAGGCCCCCGAAACCGAAGGTGATCAGCGACACTGGAAAACGCTGAACTTTCTTGCCAAGTGCGTCACGCGGTGACTTGGGCAGACTTGCGCTACAGAAATATGAAATCAAATATACAATCTGAGGACCCCGATCATAAAACCCTCAATGCACGCCCCCCCATGCATTGTGCCTCGGATGCTCCTCGGCTGCAGATCGCCTCGGGAATGCTCCAGAATCGCCGAGGCGACTGCAGAGAGGTCCAAGATGGCCCCAAGAGCGCGGAAGTACAGCCCCCAAGCTGTCAGACAACCCCCCCAAAGCGGCCCCACAGGGCTCCAAGAAAGCCGCAAGACCCGCCCAGACGTCCCCCAGCGTTTCAATCGAGCCTGTTCAGCAGCGCTCTGTAGAACCATTGCGCCCGACACGGACCCGAGATCCCCGACGGGGAGGCTTCCTACAGAAGCCCCCAAACAAGTCTCCAAGATGCCTTGGACAGGTCGGGTGTTGCTAGAGGTGCCCCTGGCCCAAGATGCCCCTCAGCTTTTCGATCCACTTTGGAGCCCCTGTGACCCTCTGGGCCTCGTGAGGGGTTCTCTGAAGGCTGTGGGGTGCTCCTTGGTGGAAATCCTAGGGGCACCTTGGGCCAGGGGCACCTCTAGCAACACCCGAACAGGGAGAGGGAAAGAGGCGGCGGACAAGGAGGAGGTCACCGGTGTTCAAGACCCGCGCCAGCTCAAACAAGGCACTGGACTGGAGCGAGTTTTAAGCCCAATCGCCTTCACGCAGCGGTGCTGCGCTGCATCGTGGCGGGGTTTGCCACACGCAAGTGGGCTCAGGGCCCAGGAAAGAGCTGAAGAAAGGATCAGGGATTCTTGCGTTGGGGAGAAGAGACGAGAAAGCACTGATGCTCGGATGCGGGTGAGCGAAGCAGAAAGGGGGGGGCAGCAGGTGCTCGCTTCCAGCAGCACAGGCAGCTTTTGCACAGGTAGCCGAGCGCTGCCCACAACTAGTGGGCGGGCACCCGACTGACAAGATCGTTCACGCGTAAGCTCGCTATACAGCCTTCTCCCCGCACGGGACCTCCTCCGCCTCCGCCTCCTCCTCCTCCGAGAAGGAGGCCCGAACGCGGCGACCCCCCATCCAAATTCCCAGCTGGGTCCGCTACCAGAGTAGCGACGAGGCGGGGCGATTGCAGTTTTTGGCCACAGCATACTCCATATACTGTACCA